ATTTGGGAGGAAACCCTAGAATAATGAAGGGTGGATGGCGGGGGGTATTGAGCAGTATCACGCACTGTCTGTATCGATCTATGAAACGGTTTTAAAGGGATGGACAAGGCATGGCTAGCAGAGATTCTTTTTGAGGAATTGGAGCGGCAGGCTAGCAGGGATTCGTTGTGAAAATCTAGCGGATCTTCAGAGCCATAATCCGACATGCCATTTCTTTTGAACAGGTCAGATATTACGTGATATTCAGACCCGGATGGGAGAGTGATATTCTTTTCTTTTTCTTCTCTTTTCTCCAATCCGATAGCTCTAGGGATTCTATCCGCTCTTTTTGTTCTATTGTCTTCATCCTGATCCATCCATCCATCCGCTCCACATCGTCAACAACAATTCTTGCTATTACTCCCCAAAATCAGGAAAATCGCTGCTGCAAAAAAAAACCCAAAAAGCCTAAGATGAGCAAAATTAGGTGAGGATTCCAGAAATAGCGTCAGAATTTTGAAATTCAAGTGTTTTCACGTCTAAACAGGGGCAAAAGAACATGCGGCGCGGGCGCGTTGCGGTTACATCTGGCTATTTGCCAGGAATCAACGTTGAGGCCGTGGACCAGATTTCGGAGTCGCTTTGAAAACAAATTAACGGACAAATCGCAAAACCGTTACGCACTGGAAATGTGGGGGCGCGGCCGCGGGCAGGATGGACGTCGTCGCGAAATTTGGCGCGTTGCGTATTCTTGGCGAAAAGCTGTCAGGACGGGAGAAATTTTGATGTCTGACAGCCGACAGGCACAGCTGTTGTACGATTCGATTTTCGATTCGGTGTGGACCGATGTGGATTTTTTGGCGTGAAATATTTTTGGGAAAAGCGGGGACAAGCTGGGAATAGAGGGGGGGTGGAATACAGATCGACACATCGACCAGCTGACAGCTGGCCCCTACCTTTCTGTCCAAAGGAATACTATGCATTCCAGAATCGGCCCGTGTTTCCCAAAAATCGACCCATTCAACCACTAGGGCTCGACAAATACGCGTTCCTTCGAATCACGCTCTTAAAGGGGCCGCTGAGTCCCGAATTCGACCTCAAGGATGCACTAGGTCTGGACAAGTTGAAATATGTCAAATAATGTGCTAATGGGACCAGAAAGTCCAAAAATCTACCCACTCGATCCACTAGGTCTCGACAGCGACCAGTTCAGTCCAATTACGCCCTAAAAAGGTGCCCTGGAAATCGACCTCTGGTTCGACTAGATCTCGACAGTTATCCTATCAGTGTCGTTGCGCGCCTAAAGGCACCACAACTCCAGAAATCGACCCTCCCGCTCCACTAGTTCTCGATAAGTCCGTGATAAGTCGAATTACGCGCCTAAAAAGGGCCAGATAGTACGAAAATCGACCCATTCGATCCACTAGGTCTCGTCAAGTACGCGATTCATCAAATCACGCCCTTAAGGGGCCAGAAACTCCGAAGCTCGACTTTTTTGACCCACTCGGTCTCGACATTTTGAACACCGAAAACGCCAATGAAAGTACGGGTAGACTACGAGGGTGTACTCCGGACGGCATTGAATTGGGGACACCCACGCGGCCCGACAAAACGAGTGTATTATCACGGGTGGAGAATTGAATTTTTACGGCGGTCATGAGAGTACTATTCACCATCAAAAAAACGGGAGAAATTCTATTCGAAAATGATGAATTATCGGTGAGGGCATAGTGGGGGATGCTAGCAGACATTCTTTGAGAAATACCGTAGACCAAATAGAAAAGAGAGAGAGGTAAATAGGGAGTGAGAGAGTAGAGATTGAGAGAGCGCGAGAGAGAGACAGAGAAAGAGAGAGAGCGAGAGAGCGAGAAAGACAGGAAGAGATAGGGAGAGAGAGACAGGAAGCGAGAGAGAGGCAGGCTAGCAGAGATTCTTTGCCAAAAATCAGGCCAAAATGAAGGTATCTTCTGTCTGTAGTTCTGCATGCCGATGGAGGTGTCTATAGGAGCGTTGAGTAGCCTCGTTATCGTCTCCTTCTACCCTCTTTTTTCTCCTCCCTTCCTCCCCTTCCTGCCCATGAATAAGCTGCCGGATCACGAGCTGCTCCTCCCCTTCTCTTCGCTACCTTCTACCTTTTGCCGCAGCTAGACGGGGATTCTGCAAAAAAATCCGGCTGGCCAATTTTTAGGCTAATCTGGCTTGCAGCTGACCTTTTTAAGGGTCCGTGAAGTCCATGGAGGCTGCAAAATTTGTCTCGCTCTATCTCTATCTCTCTCTATCTCTCTGTCTCTCTCTCCCTTTCTCTCTCTCTTCCCCCTCTCTCTATCTCTCTCTCCCTTTCTCTCTCTCTCTCTATCTCTCTGTCTCTCTCTCTCCCTACTCTTTCTCCCCGTCCAGTCCGACGTTTTAAAGGAGCAGTGAAGTCCGAGGGGTGGATTGAGCGGTTTTTAGGGGGCGAACCGTATGCTAAAGGGAGCGTAACAGCCCGAAGGACGCGCCAAATTTCGAGCGTTTTTTCACGATTAAAGTGATCTAATTTTAAACAATTTAATGTCATTATAAAAATATTTTAATATTTTAAAGCAAAAGTAAACCAAAAGTTTAAAATTCGTGATTTTTAGCGACCAGATTGCGAAAAATACAGTAATAAGGAGATAATTTGGTCGTATGACAATTTCAAAACTTTGGCCAAGCTGTGATTGAGCCAAATTTGGGGCGAGAGCGCCCCAAAACAACATACACAAAATTTGGCCGAATGAAATTTGCAGTGCGCCTGGTGACTTGTGCACTTTTTAAACAAAATGAAGCCCTGAAATGGAAGAAAGAGAGAGAGAGAGAGAGAGAGAGAGAGAGAGAGAGAGAGAGAGAGAGAGAGAGAGAGAGAGAGAAAGAGAGAGAGAAAGAGAAGGTGAAACCCCCAGGTCAGTCAAAATAGTCTCTAATTACAGGGGATGGCCCCCTGGGGAGTCTGTCTTTTTCTGTTGCTCTCTCTCTCTCTCCGTCCATCATAAACAACAATCCGATACTAACGAGGCAGTACTTTAAACGAACTTTAAAACTTCATTCGGAGACCTGACAGGGCAGGCTAGCAGAGATTCTTTGAGGAATTGGAGGGGATGGACGGGGGCAGGCTAGCAGAGATTCTTCGGGAAAACGAAGCCGATTTGGGTCGCTAAGATCAGTGAAGCTGGGCGAACAACATCCACGTAGTTTGGATACCTTTTTTGGGGGCCGTTGGTCAGAATGGGAGATGAATTGTAAGGGGAGAAGTAGATACAAAGCGAGAGAGGGAGCGAGAGAGAGAGAGAGGGAGGCAGGGGATAATATTTGATTTGACGACAAATATCCGGCGCCCCGCTGTTCTACTCCCGGAATAACATGTTTTACAGGCCCGGAAAAAAGGTGCTGGCAGCGATTATTAGAGACTTAGTCGCTAGAAGCCTCCATATCTTGCTCTTTCGCGCTCGCTTTCGCTCTCTCTCTCTCTCTCTCTCTCTCTCTCTCTCTCTTTCGCTCTCTATAAGCAACTTCCGTTAGCCCATGGCAGGCTAGCAGAGACGATTTTGGAGAGAAAGAGAGAGAGAGAGAGAGAGAGAGAGAGCGAGAGAGAGAGAGTGAATGAGAGATCGAACTACACAGCAAAAAGGGGCAAAAAGTGGTCTTCGGGTGGTGGACATGTCTCCTTATTATCATCTGTGGGAGACACGGGTATCATATTCTTGGGTGCGGGACACCAAATATCGAACAGCCAGCAGCAAGAAACGGGATGTCTGGACCCATGGACCCAAAATTTGTGCAAAAAGTTCTTTTGATCCGACACAAGCCCTCGACGGCTAATTTTCGAATTTTACAAATTACGTGCTTCGAGTTCGCAAAGCAGCCCATTCAAAAGAGCACATTTTTTAACCGGGGAATTGGCTTGCTTTCCCCCCAAAAGTATTTTACTGCCTTTTTAGAAGAATTGAATCTGAGTGGTGCCGCAATTTTTGAAGCTGGATCTGGAATCAACAAAAATTTTTGAACAAAATGTGCTATTGCACGTACCCCATCCTTTTATTTCCACTTCGACCATAAGAGTGTTACGGTTAGACCTTTGAGCAGCTTGGCAGAGATTATTTAGGAACTGCCAGCGCAGGCCCGGGCGACGTAGCAGAGCTTTTGAACGCAAAAACGGTAGCGCTGGTCCAATTCCCTTGACGTTTTTCCGCAGCAGCATGCTAGCAGAGATCGTTTTTGAAGCCGCGATTCACCCACGGATTCGCAGAGCAATAGGAGGCCGATCTTTGCGTGGACTAGCAGAGGTATTTCGAAAACGATAGCTCAAGCCCGGGCAAGCCGGCAGCGGTTTTTGGAGAAACATTTCGTTCGAACCTTTTTTCAGCTGAGGTAAGCTAGCAGGGATCGTTTGGGAAACTCTAACCAACCGGCGGCAAGCTAGCAGGGCTTCTTTGAGCTAGAATAGAAAACAGGCTGCAGACTAGCCAGAAATGCTTGAATGATTCGGAAAGGATAGTCACAGGCATGGCAAGCTAGCACAGGTTTTTTTGGAAGAAAAATTGCGTCGCGAGAGCATTTTTGACGTTGTCGGGCCTTTAGTAAACGCTAGCCTAAAAGAGGCCAACTGGCAGAGACTCTTTGCGCTAAACTACACCGCGAGATCACTTTTCGCGTTTTTCCAGCATCCACCACAGGCCCGCAAACCATTTATTCGTCCGGTTATAATATTAAAATCCTTTTTCGTAATTAAAATTCGTGCCAAGTCAGCGAGAGAGAGCACAGAAATCCGAGAGAAATAGAGAACACAACGAGGGAGAAACTAGGGAGCGAGACGCCGAGAAATGGAAGAGACGCAGAGAAATGAGAGAGACTAGCGTATCGATAAATATTCAAAGAAGAAAAGAAGACGGCGGGGGAAATGCCCGTCACTACCTCGCACTAATGGCTTATGCAAAAAACAAATGGACACACTATTCACTAACAAACAAATTCGAGAGGGGCATTATATTGGTGTTGATCGTCTACTTCCTCTGCTGCACAATCTCCTTCGTCGTTCGATACGGCTGGACGATCGTCTCGTCAACGGTGCATCCACTGCAAAAAAGGGATTTAGAGTGAAAAGGCACTAAAGACTAACAAGGAGAGGTTTTTTTTGTGGGCATGACGTGATCTCTAACATTTTTATAGGCCTTCAAAGTATGCCATTTCGGGCGTTTTTCCAGCGAAACCCCCTTATAATGTTTTCAAATACAGATATTCAAATCAAATAGGCCTGGTTTCGACTAGAGATGTTAAGAATCAATTAACAATCAAGATTATTTGCATACAATGGCACAATATTATTTGATTTGGATGGGGCTGAGCGCATGACCAAGTAAAATAATATTATTTGACTCCGCTCGAGAAAGAACCAAGTAAAATTACTTGATTTACCTGATTTACTTGATCAAACAATAGCTTTCTGGAATTCTGGCATTTTTCGGATGGTAATGAACCTTATGACATGATCGCATGCTAATTTACTGGGTTCGCGGCACGATCGCCTGATTTGCATTGCGAATTTGCACAAAATCAAGTAATTTCGCTGAAAATCAAGTAATTCCCCAAATCAATCAAGATCAAGTAAATCAAGTAATTTTATTTTACTTGATGCTTATTTAAGCAAACGAAGTAAAATAATTTTATAGTTATTTGAAGATTCCAGATGCAAATAAAGTTGTTCAAGTAAATTTACTTGGTCTCTAGTTTCGACTCAAAACTCCATTTACAATCAAAAACTTCTCCTTGTAATAAAGGTATCGACCAAGTACACATTCAAAAGTTTCGAATTCTTGTTATTTCGCGTAAAAACGAGATTTCCTAAGTAAATTTTTCCCAAAACTGGCTAAATATTGGATAGAGAGAAATAGGTATTTAGTAGTATTTTAGTAGCGTTCAGTTCAAATTTGCTATATTGATAGCGAAAAAAGGTGGAGACTAGGAAAAAGTTTGGGAAGATTCAACTAACGTCATTGCTCAAAAATGATGCCATTTAGGATTTTTTATATGTTTAGGGATCCCTGTTCACGTGATAAGTTTTAGGAAAAATTCACATCAGCCAAAATTTGATTAAAAAGCCCCAGACTTCTGTACTTTAATCTACCGAAAATCCGGAAAAGCGTACCGAACAGTCTGCGGCTCGTCGTTGTGGAAGATGTCGGCGTAGAGGGCTTCCGGTGGCAGCACTCCATCGTTGACAGCGCTGTTCGTCGCGTCCTCCACCTCCTTGCGCACCGCCTAAAAGAATACGACATTAATTTCGACATACACACTTACAAGGAGTGGTTTTTAGGTGATCTTGGAAATTTGCGATGTGACGTAGCTTGTTCGATAGAGATCGATAGATTTGCGTGCATATTTTCGAAACTCATATTTTCGAAACTCAGATTTTCGAAACTCATATTTTCGAAAACTCATATTTTCGAAACTCATATTTTCGAAAACTCATATTTTCGAAACTCATATTTTCGAAAACTCATATTTTCGAAACTCATATTTTCGAAAACTCATATTTTCGAAACTCATATTTTCGAAAACTGATAGTTACAGCTTTGCATAGGCTTGGGTAACTTAAGAAAACCTAAGAAAATATGAATTTCAAAAATATGAGTTTCGAAACTATGAGTTTTCGGGGTTCTTGCGTATCCGGGGGAAGAATAGGAAAAAAAAACAAAAAAAGAACTTATTTTAATAGGAAAAATTTTTTTAAGTTTAGAAAAACGCTTGAAAAAGTCGAAAATTTGGTCGTTTTTGGTCGAAAAAAATTAATTTTTCTATTAAAATTAATTTTTTTTATTAAATTTTGTAAAGTTTTATGCTTAGGAATAGCTATAAACGGTTTAGAAACAATTCCACCATTTATATAAAAAATCTAGGCTTGGGCCGAAAAAAGTTCAGTTCAGAAAAAAGAAAAAAGGCCACGCAAGGACCGTTTTCGGAAATATGAGTTTCGAAAATATGAGTTCGAAAATATGAGTTACGAAAATATGAGTTTTCGAAACTATGAGTTTCGAAAATATGAGTTTTCGAAAATATGAGTTTCGAAAATATGAGTTTTCGAAACCATGAGTTTCGAAAATGTGAGTTTCGAAAATATGAGTTTCGAAAATATGAGTGCCCACCAGATCGATAGGCGGTCAAAAATCGTCAAAATCAGCCCTTTCAGCGTAAACTTTCTTGTAAATCGGTGCCATTCGGCAGTTTTTGAAAGGTGGGACTGGTTTAGAATTCAAAGCACTATCGAATGATCTTTTTAGCATAGAAAAATTTCAAGATCACCTAAAAACCGCTCCTTGTTAGCCGACATTTTTCGGCAAAAAGCAAAAAGTTGAAATGTACCTTATCAACCTCCTTGAGCTCGTCCTCGGTGACCAGGCCGGAAGTGACGATGCGGTCCTTGAAGCCGGTGATCGGGTCGCGCGTCTTCCTCACAGATTGAATCTCGTCGCGGGTACGGTAGCTGGAAAGGAATACTGTAACGAGAAGCAACAAATACGCGTAAACCTGGTTTTAAAGAAATTCCGAAATGTCTTCGAAAATCGTTTAATTCGAAGGCAAAAATGTCTCGAAAAAGCTAAGCTACAACCGCGAACGCCTTTCAAAATCTCTGGCTTCATAGTCCCTTAAAACAAAGAGATCCGTACCTAGTTCCGGGATCCGACATCGAGTGTCCATGGTATCGATACGTAGCCACTTCCAGCATCAGAGGCCCCTTGCCAGCATCACAGTATTCTTTGCACCAACGAATCGCCTCCCTCACAGCCAACACGTCCATTCCATCGACCCACACGCCCGGCACGTAGTCGCCACTGAAAAAAGAGTAGAGTTTAAATTTAAAAATTAGAGAACCATAAAAAAACTATCAAAACTAGAAAATTTGAAATTAATCTTACGTATAAAAAGTACGAAAAACATACTCTGCAGCCTAAGGATAGTCAATTACGCGAGGAAACTCATAGAATCGTGTAACGTACCGAGTATAGTAATCGGTTGACGCGGATGAGCGATCGGCCGACGTTCCCATGCCGAATCCATTGTTCTCGCAGACAAAGATGCACGGCAGATCCCACAGCTTGGCCATGTTGGCGGCCTCGAAGAGTTGACCTTGGTTCCGCGGCTCCGTCACCGTACAACGCCACGCAGATGTTCTTCTGATCCCTGAAAATGCGGGGTTTGAAGAGTTAATTTACTCCCAGCAACAAAAGAGCAGCAAAGAAAGAGCGAGAGGAGAGAGAGAGAGAGAGAGAGAGAGAGAGAGAGAAACAAGAATACTGCTATTCACCTGTATTTCATGGCGAAAGCGACTCCAGCGCCGAGTGGTTGCTGTGCCCCGACGATTCCATTTCCTCCGTAGAAATCCTTGGCGTACATGTGCATCGAGCCGCCCTTGCCGTACACGTTTCCGGTGATGCGGCCTGAAAATGGTACTAAAAGTCGAAAAGACCGGCGGTTACGATTAAAAAGATCGTGCCAGTCGTGAATCTTCGCTTAGGAATAAAAAAGCGTCGGGCAGTTTTCAGCACAGCCCGAATTTAAAAAATTTTGAATTTAGGAAACCGACGCATTTTCCGCTGTTTTTTATTGCATTTCGAAAAATCGTAATTCCAGGCTCTTTAGAAGGACAAACTTTGCCTCTTCGCCTTCGGAGTCTCGTCAACTCAGCCAAACAACGCGCGCAAATCGTTCCGATATACGCAGCGAGCTGTTCGTATCTTCCAAAAATGCCGGCGCACGTGTTTTAGCGCTCGCTTAGCTTTCAAAAACCGGAGTTACGAGGTGAGGCGAAATCTAGCCCTCTGAAAGTCTATAAAAAACTAAACGCACCCGTCAACTCGGCCAGAATCTCGGTGACGGTCGATCCGCAGAGATACGTCCATCCGTGGCAGCGATAGGCGGTGATCACGGCATCGCCGTCGGTCATCGCCGCCTTTCATCCCAACGGCACAAGCTTCCTAAAACACAAAAATCACAGTAAAAACTACGGGAAATTCCGAACCTGTCCAGAGTAGAGATGGCAAAATCCTCGAATCTTCTTCTCCTTGTAGAGGTTGCTGGCGGCGCCCTCCATACGGCGGATCAGCTGGAAAAATACGATTTTCGGGAACAGAAACTACAACATTAATCTAAAAACACTTTTAAAAGAAACGATTACCGCTACGGACGAAAATTCAAAATGATAAAAAGCGTAAAAAGTACGGAAAAGCCTCAAAAAAGTCGAAAATGTGCCAAAATGCCCAAAAATCCGCCAGTACCTGCATTTGCCTGTAGTACTTGAGGGCATCGTCTCGCGTCAGCTTCCTTGTGTGTTGGGCCGTTGTCCAGCTTGTGCAGCTTGAACGCCTGCACCGAGGGAAGTTCACTCGCTCGACGCGAAACGGGTTGACGTCACGTTGGTGGCGACGGCAGCGAGTGCCGGGCCCTGGCTGGGCTGAAAACGGCAAAATTAGAAAAATACTCCATAAGACGCATATTTCGAGAATTTGCGTCAATTTATTCGGAAACCAACGAAATATTGTAAACAATTTCCCCAAGCTCGTGAAGTGCCAAACCTCGCATTTCGGGTTACTTACAAAAAGTCGAGGCTTTAAGGTACTTTTCGCATTTTGGGGAGATTTTGCACTTTTTGCCTCACGATTCATTTTTTGTAATAGAAATCAAGGAGACGTTTCGAAACTGTGTTGTTTTGCTATTTCTAGCGCAGCACAATACAAACTTTTGTTAAAAACACACAAAAACGGATTTTTCGAACGAAAATGTTTGATTTTCGGCAAAAACGTCAATTAAGCATTCTACAAACTGTTTTTCCGGCCTCGATCTTCGGTTCAAGTTTGCCCAAAAAAACTGTTGAATGCTTACTTTTCTATTACTAACCGTTACTGGACTTATAACGAAAAGTTTGCAAATACGCCGCAAAAATGTCGACGATTTCAGTAGCAATTCCCGAATTTCCATTCTGCTCGTCAAAATCCACAAAAAGGTACATAATTTTCTTGAAAAATGAAACACAGGAGCCTCGTCACCTTAAGCCCCTTGCTGAAGATGGAGAGCATCTGGTCGACGCGCCGCCAAAAGCACTTGGCGATACCACTAGAAGCACGGATTGCCCGTCATCGCCGCATCGCCTGAAATCCCGGTAGATCGATATTCGATGGTCAGGAAACCATCAAAGAAAGCAGAAAACACCACAAAAATACACGAGACTTTATCTTAAGCGGTAAATGCGCGACAATTCGTTAAATACAGCGGAAAGTGGGGGACGACGAGGAATGAAATGGATATAATGAATATGATGCAGCGGAAATACCCTAAAAGCAAAGAAGACGCGGGAACACCCATCGAAGCAGAAATCACATATTGGTATTGGCGGGAGGCGCGTTTGAAGGAAGGGCCAGAATCCAAGTTCCGCGCCGAATTTGCAGTTTTTACGCTCCAAAAATTTTTGATAATGCCCGTATTCTCTAGTCCCATCCGAAAAATCGTGAACGGGGCGGTTGATTTTGTGAGAGAGTTTGTCGGGGGGCGAAGGTAATTTCGATCAGACGGCTGGCTAAGAAATGAAGTGAAATCCAGAGAGGCTGGCTATTTACAAGGCGATAAATTAGGGAACTTGGAGGAAAAGCGGGGATACAGAAATACCGGCAATGGCGAAAGCTGGCGATTGATGTGGCGACGCCGAGCCAAATGCCAGGATGATCATCACACCTGCTTGCGGTTGGCCATCTTCTCGCGGCGACCCATGCCTTGATGCGCTCTCGCAGGTCGTCAACTGGGAATCGATGGGAATTGTCTCGGGCACCCTCCGCATTTTGCCCACTCTCTAGCACCCCAAGGAGACAAACTCTTTGAGTTCTCCCAGCTTGGAATCATGTTTCCGGCGGCTTTTCCCACTCTTGTATTGCCTGGCCAGTGGAGAAAAGTTTGACAAGAAGCGGAAGGTGACAGAACATTTATGGGCTCAATTTATCCCCGAAAATTCCTAGAAAAATCCCAAATCTATTATCTGGCGTAACCTAATCAGACTAATCTAGCTAGCTCAATAATTTTAACTGATTTTAAAATGTAAATAAAAGTAAAAACCCAAATTTTTTTTCGGAAATCATGAATTCTAACGGCTTACGCGATGAAATGCATTAAGAATAACTAGCGTAATCTATTACAATTTCATGTCCTAATCGAATCATAAAATGTGTCAAACTTCTTAAAAAACGGCCAGCTTCCCCAGAAATTCCCAAAAATTAACATACCTGGTACAGGCTCGCTCTCCTCCAGCGGGCCCCTCGTGAAGGGGTTCGTCTTCGAAAGTGAGCAGATGGCGCATGATGACGTTCCAGTCCATCACTTGGCCGGATGGCAGGGCCACCGGGTCGTGCATCAGCGTGTCCATCAGAAGGGTCCTAAAGGAATAATCAATAAAGTAGATAAATTGGACATAATTCTTCCATACAAAAAAAAAAACGAAAATTCTTACCGCAGACTCCTCGGGCGCGTCCGTCAGCTCCTCGTCATTCGTTCTGCTTCGTTTTCTATGATCTGGAAGAGGATAAAATTTTTGAAAATACGCGAAAAGAATGAAAAAGGCAGTTCTGTGTCAAAAATTTACCTGCTCACGGCGATTTGCAGGCCAGGTTGGTGAAGCCCGCTCAGGTAGGGGGCCGAGACGATGTTGCGGTCCCGCAGCTTCGTCCAGCACGCCGTTCAACATGTCCGGGGTGTAGGTGCGCTGAAAAGGACAATTACACGGGATCAAAATCCCCCCCGAAACACGCAGAAAACTATCTATTTTAACACGTCAATTTTTTAAAAATTTCAGCAAAATTCCCAAAGTTAACATTTTTATAAGTTTCCAGGCCATTTTTCCAATTTTAATACTAGCTAAATATCACGAAAAATGGTCAAAATACCTCCCTCCGCCCGGTAATGCGAAAGCACCCAGTTCAAAATTCAAAATTCTCGTACCTCATCCCTAGCCATGTAGTCAGCAAACGTCTCGCCGTAGCCAGGTTCAGGTAGACGGAGACGACGTGCGTGGTCAGCTCTTTCCGGGTTCCAGTCGAAGCGGCGCTGCGTCGTCGCGCACGCGCAACTCCGAGCACTTCGGGCCTGGCACAACTGCAGATGTTGTGGTCGAGCATGGCCGCCAGGCGCTCGCCGAGGACCTGAAATAAAGATTTATAAATTTCGAGTAGAACAGCAGCTTCTCGCCAATCAATCCCAATCAAATCAGGTTAAATTAAAAGCATTAAAAATCAGCTTACCGGCAAGAGGAAGGGCTCGCTGGCGTCCGGCCGTCGGATATTCGAGCAGGTCGAGCGTGTACTCGGCGTAGTAAGAGGCCAGCTTCTGACGTTCGTTGGCCTCGTCGAGCGCCGAGTGTTCTGTCCTGCTGTTCTTCTTGGCTCCGGCCGGCCCATTGCTCCGTCTGCGACATCAGCTTCTCGATGTCGTGCACCTGAAAAAAATTTTTTACGCGAAAGGTACGACCAGTTTTCTAATATAACTAATATTTCTAAACAGGTTTACATTAGGCTTTTACACTAAAAACTTTTATGAAAACTATCAAAATTAAGCTTAAAAATCGATTTTCGACAAAAGTTTCAAATTTTTTAAACGTTCAAACATTTTTGCAAAACGAGCTTTCGTTTTAAATGTAATAAAGAATTTGCTAAAATCCCCTCGCTATGACATTACTAAAGGTTTCGAACAACATATGGAAAAAATTAAGATTCCATGGAATACCAAAAAGAAACCAAGATTTTTCATCACCCGGAAATCTCAAAAAACCGCCTTGTTTTCTTGGGCTGGCCAGGCTCTCGTCGAGCAGGAATGT